TTTGTGGCAATAAGCACCCCTCCGTTCTCTAGAATGTTTTGAAGCATAGATAATACATTGCTCCCATGATTTGCAATGCATGACTGAGCATACCAAGGTCACAGCGAAAGGAATGTTGCCAAGTCATATTGTGTCAGGCCCTAGTGGAAGTTTGGAGCATCGGAGAGTCGAGCCTTATGGTACACATCAAGAAAAAGTGTCAGCATCTTTTTAGCGCTGATAGTAACAAGAAAACATTTATGGTAGTCCATACATTGTGGGCAAATGTAGCATTATAAACCTTTTCAAATGCTTGAGTTTAAAATTGTTTGACTCTACACACACACACATATATATATATATATATATATGAATAAAACATACATTTCCATCTGTCCCTTCATTTTGTGCAACTATACTTGAACCATTTAGTGAACTGACCAAGAATATAAAGATCTAATGCAAAAAAACCTAACCCTTTGGTAAGCAGTCTGTATATTCCAGATGTGGCTCTTTTTACAACTGCGCTACATTTTCCTTGCGCAATATTTGGGTATTGCATATATTCCAAGTCAGAATGAAACTACCTTTTGTTGATTCTGTTAGAATCTGTGTTGGGTGACATCAGTAGATCCAACTCTATTGTTGTGTGTGTTAAAACTGGTCAAATACCCAAGCTTGACCATTGTATAAACTCTGCAGGTTAACACTGGACCTACGTAGGGGCTTTTACTTTGGTCAGGTACCAAAGAAATGATTTCACATAAAAAAAAAAAACTGTATATGTAATAACTGTGATGTTCTCTCTGTATGAGATCTTCTGGAAAAAAAGTTATCAAAGGGGTTCTTTAGCCGTATGTCTGCATGTTTATAGGTGAGTGACATGGAGAGTCTCTGTTCCACAGCAGCATCAGAATGTTTTGGTATTGAGGTGTCATCTCGATGGTGAATGATCCGACAATGTTTTCATTATGGATCCCCCTCCACCCCTGACTCCTTCAACTCCCGTCCCCGCTCCCAAACAAGAGGCTGGAATGTTGGGTTTCCATGACGCTAATGAAGTAAAAACCTGGCAATGTGTTGCTGGCAGCCTCTGAGCAGCTCCTGATCCGCGGCCTCCTTCTCATCAGGATCAGAGTCTGATCCCCCTGTAGCCTTCATTCACCAGGGCTTATTATGCCCAGGAATGTCTCTCACTCTCTCCTTCTCTCATAACCCGCACTGAGGCAGGGATGTGGGGTGCAGGGGTAAATTTGGGACAAATCCCAAGCGAGGGTACTACCCCAAATCACACACAAACCCCTTCCTCTTTTTTTTTTTTTTTTTTTTTTTTAAAACACTCACATACTCATTAAAACCCCTCCCCTATCACACACATATACACACATACTCAAACCCTTTCCCGTAAAAAGTGAAAAGCTGCTGTTGTGATTTATTGTTCCATAAATGCTTCATGTGGCTGGCCCATGAGGCGACCAGTCCCACTGTTTGCTAGTGGCCCCAGGGACAATGGTGAGTTTTCAGCACTCAAACAAGTCCTCAATCAAAACTATGTGGTCCTCCCTGGGGAAAACAGAATGATCTTCCCAGCAGCTTGCTTGTTTTTGCTGGTTTTCAGATGGCCTTGAACTAATATTTGCAAACTAAAACATCTTTTGACATTGCAGCTTTTTCCACAAAAAAAGTCCTTTCTGAACTTTATTTCCCGTCCTAAAAATGACAATACCCCAGCTGAAAAAAAAGCACTTCTCCGACGTTCCCTTAATCGGCCCTTCCTGGTGGGAAAGAGTCTTCTTCCCTTTGTCTCTCTCCCAGAATGGTAGTTGAGGGGTTAAATAATCAGTCTCTGTACATTATCCTGTATCCTGCTGGGCTGGTGGACGCAACCATAATGTCTTGCTAATTAGCCTCCATTTAGGATGGTCCAATAGGCCACACAGCCCCCATTGAAGACTGAAGCCCATGGAGCTTTGCAAAGGAAAGACCCTCTGTCTCGTGGGCATTCATCGTTCGGGCTCATCCTTAATAAACCTCTAGCTTGCCCAGGCTTGATGTCTCCAGGACTCAGGATTCAGTTACTCAGTCAGTGAATGGGGTGTATAGCCTGTGTGGGGATGATTTAGGCCATTGTGTGTACTTTGTCATTCAGCGTATAATGTCCATAAATGGGATCTAAACTGACCAGGACCAATTAAGGGCTTAAGGGGTGAAGCGGCTCGTTGTAAACTTTGACCCTTATCAAATCTTTGTCGACTGTGGTCCCCATGTGGGCTTGTGTGAGACAAGGTCTTTGGGAAGACTGGGTTCTCTTGACAGTAAAGGATAAATTGCAAAAATACTTCAGAATAATGTTGTTGTTGTTGTTGGATTTTTAAAGGTATGTATTTAGTTTTTTTTATTGAAATCATAACACATAAATCTACATGATATGTGTGTTTTCTTTATATGCAGCCCATGCTGTGGTCTGTGGTGGAAAGTGATTAGAGGAGAACATGCCGTACTACTACAAAATCACGAATCACACTGTTTTTCTCTATAACTCTTTGCAGTCACTTTTAAAATGACAAAATAATCCAGGCACCCATTTGCATTGATTGTATAGAGTCTCAGTTTGATGTGTGGTTGTGCCAGAAGCACACCACTGGCCCTTTTCCTGCCTTGTGGGGAGTTGAGCAGCTGAAACAAAAGGACAAGAGGCCTTCATCATCAAAAACCACCAGGTCCTCGGCACTGGAAAGGGCTGTGCATGACATCTGATGAAGATGGATGAAGATGGTTGCTATGGAGAAGGATAAGACTCTTCAGGTCCTGTGGAGAAACTTTTGGCTTGCTAGAAGCAACAGGGCATGTTGGCATGGAGTAGTTCAAGTGGTGGTGGAACAGTCTGCAATTGGTGCTTGTCTTATATAATCATTTTGGTGTGCGCTGGTTTTTAAGCGGTCTGTTTGCTGAATTGATTTGTTTGTGTGTGGATCTCTTGCAAGTGTTTGTTGTTCACCTTGAATTATTTCTTGACCTCCTTGTGGAGTTATAGCACCTTACCCAGTCACTCCAGGTCTTTGCGTTTATGTTAAGTGGCCCATTGTTGATTTGCTGCATTGAAGTTGTCAGTAAAGCAGCAGCAGGTATGGTTGTTTGGCACAGTTTTACAGCCATGTTTCAATATTTGAGGGAAAAACTATAAGAAAGCTTGACACACAAACGCAAATGTGGTCGTTAGAGCTTTTGTTGTCAGTAGTGGGGGAAAATGACTCATATTTAGTCATTTTTTCACACTTCATACTGGTTGTTTGATTATTGTTGTGATGTCGTGACCTGTTGGTCAATGTGAACTTGTCACCTGCTGGTCAGTTGGCTGGATTTCCGGGTCAGGCCTCAGCTAGCATTGTCATGGCGGCCACACAGGCCAAGCATTATTAGCCCCACTGGCGGCACTATTTGTCCCACTCCAAAAAAGAGGGCTAACGAATAAAAGCAAAAATGGGAGACAGCTAAAGTCTTTCTGATCCCCTCTTCCATGAAGGGGTAATCCAGGGGTGATCGTCAGCACAAAATGTGGCTTTGACTGCCTGTATCCATTCTGTGTGTGTTTGTGTGTGTTTGTGTCTGTGTGTGCATTTTTTCAATCAAACTTTTACTTTACTAAGAAGTTGTAAGCAAGGAAATCTCACCAAGAAATAGTTGTTAAAATTAATCAGTTTATACATATTATAACACGTGAAATATTTAAAACATGACATGAAAATAAGCATCCTGTATATTTTGTGTGTTTACAGAGGAGGACCAGGACATATTTTAGTCACAATGGAAGTTGTGTGTGTGTGTGTGTGTGTGTGTGTGTGTATTATGTTTATGTGAGACAGGGGAGGGGGAGGGGGATATGTGTCCCTGTGCCTCTTCAGTTCCCTCTTGTATCAGTCATCCTTGGGAAAGCCACCTATGCCAACCGTCAGAACTCATTTACATTATCCCGTAGTACTCAGTGCATTTTCCAATAAGTAGTAAAAACACCTTAACCTTGCGTCATGTACTTACTCATATTGTCTCATTCGTGACCTCATTCCTCAACCATGCCAAAAGCACATTATCAAGGTTACTTGATACCCAAGTGCCTGTTGTCCTTTGTAAATACTGACGAATCACTGCTGGTAAAGTTCCATTTAGTACATAAAACCACATACCTGAGATGCCATGTTGTCTTTGGTTAACTGACTAGCTAACCGCTAATTGCACAATTGACCACAGTAGGTCATGTTTGTTCATGCACTTGGCTCTCAGGTTAGCACAATTTTAGTTCTCTGTGTAGGTTTGCTGAGTTGTGTGCAGTCCCCTCTGCTATCTCTGCACGAGTTGCCTGGATGGACCATTAGCTGCTACAGTGTTGACTAGAACTGCTGTGAATGGATGGCAGTACTCTGACATGGCTGCCATGGTCACCCTTTCAACCAACAAAGGTGGAATGTCATGTAGTAATCCTGTTGCCAGTGAGGTTGCACCATTCATTTAAAGCAGGGAGATTTTCAAAATAGCTGGGTTCTAGGTCCAATCTGTTCAGGATTTATAGCACACGATAAATTGTTAATTGTTAAGGGTCGAAATACCGTATTGACCTATCCAAGATGTTTGATGCTTTGACAGTCCTTACCAATATTATTATTTAAAATGCTTGATTGATTGTGGATGGTAGGTAAGGCCTAGAAGCTCTAAAACTACTTTAATTGCCTTTTTCTAAAAGTTGTTCCTTGAATTGTTGTTAATATCGTAGTTTTCATATATTGATCTGTTGAGACGCAGATCAGATATACGTATTCAAGTGCAGTTATAGCCCATAAGCAACATCTGTTATTGATATTTGCATTGGTTTAGCCTAAGTAATAAATCATTTTTGAAGTCAAAACCATGAGGCTTCACTAAAACTGTCTGTTATTGCTATTAACTATTACAAGGTAAATTGAATGTAACTTAAATGATTGTGGTTTTATATGAAGTGGCATAATAAAACTGTCTTTATCACTTTCCAGAGCACCAGGATTGCCTCCATCAGGCAGTCCATGAGCGACTCGGGGAGCTGCTGCGAGTCCTAAAGGCCATTATCAGCAAACACCAGAGCCTCAACTCAGTAGACATCCTCAGTACAGCTGGAACCGTCATCGCCACGGTCAAAGGTGAGCCATGATGACGAGCTCTCCCTTAAACACACACACACACACACACGTACACGCACACACACACACACACATATATAAGTCAGTGCTTTCCTGCAAAACATAGCAGCTACTCCTCCACTCTTCCTTTGGTCTGTTTTCTGTCTCTGCTTATCTAATCCCCCCCTTCTCCCTTGACAGTTTTCCCTCCTGGACATTCACTATTACTACGTCCTCTCTCTCTGTCTCCCCAAGTCTTAAAAAGAGCTTCCTGGGGAATGTTTCTGAGGAGTTTTCTTAAGCTTCAAAGCAATGCAGCTCTTCAGAAGTCACTCAAGTGCTTAGAAATGCATCAGCATGTGTTTCAAACCCCATACAGAGAGTAAGAAAATAATATTTGGGAGTCAAATACCTGATTCAACAGGCAGGGAGAAACGGTTGTCCTTTGTGCTTGGTCTGCCAGTCCAGAGGGAACTTCACTGAGGAATCCTTTTCAGTCTCTCATTCTCTGAGATTATGATCTGGCGTGCAGGTCAATTCTTAACTTGGCTGCCACACAAGAATCCCCTGAGTATACCTTGTCTCAATTTGCATTGGAAAGAGCTGCAAAGTTTTTTGAAAGGCTTTTATTTTATAAGGAATGTTAACATGCGGAACTGAGCAAAGTCTCAGGATGCTCGGCAGATGAATGCAGCAAGTCCACATACATGTGGGTGTGTGCGCCATAAACGGTTATGAGATGCATGCAAGTCCTGTCTTTTGTGCAGGAACTGATGTGTCATTCAAACATGTTGATGCACAGTACAGACACACAGAGGAGGCCCCAGATTTAATTTGACAGCTCAATAGTCATTCAGTAAAAGGCTTTGAATTTAGGGTCTTAATGATATTGCATTAATGGGATTTGGAAGAATATAGACTTAAAAACGTGTAGCTGTTTTTTAAACCTGTATCATTAATGTTGGCTGGTTTATCGACACCACTGTTAGTGATATCTCTAAGCAAGCACCTGTGTTGTATTGCAAATAATGTAACAGGCTGAGCATTTACAGTAGCTGCAATTCTATAGTCTTATAAATGTGCAGAGAAATATGCTATAACCCCTTTTCTGCCACTAGGTGGCCAGAATCGCTCACTTCTTGACCCCCACACAGTAACAAGGGGTTATCAGCTGTATACTGGCATCAGTATTTTTCACTACTAAATCTCAAAGCTTTTTATGTTACACAACATTAAGATGTAAAATTTTATTATACTACTATATATGGAGGTGTGTCATGTCACCAGGCAGTTAGAAAAAAGATTAAAAATATACAGTTTGACTGCAAGGATGAAAAAGTATTGGGAATTTTTCTAGTAGAAATTGTGTTACATGTCTACATCATCACACTAAGACATAGACTAGATCAAAATAGTTGTTCATATAGCATTGTATCACTTGGTGCTTCATATCCAAACGCATGCCTTGCTACATCCTCGTGTTACTCTTTATTGGAAGAAAAGTTCCTCGTAGATCTGAATTCTGCGTAGGACTTTGCAGCTGACAAGTGTTTCGAGAGTGTTGTGCTTTTCCAGTGAAACAATACCATTTTTCCCCGATGATGTAACTTCCATGTTTGGACCACTGGTTGGGGCCTGAGCGAGTACTGGCATTGTATTCCAGCAAGCCTCAGGATGTCCTGTTGGGGGTAGGGGCTGGACAGAAGAGGAGGAGATGTAACAGCACAAGAGAATTGCGTGCTTTGAATGGTGGTGCCTACAGTAGCTGGTCTGGGGGTTGACAAGAGGCTCCAACGGCCCCATGGACATTGGACCCATCAAAATCCTTTTTTTTTTTTTTTTTTTTTTGCACCTTTCTGATAAAAGCCTTAACACTTCCGGTGCCAAGTCAGAGAGACAAATTTTGCCGTTGGATTTGTTTCTGTACATTTTTTTTACTTTTTCTGGATATATAAACATATTGCTGCACCCCATAAAGAAAAGTTAGTTTTTCAGTGGCGTACTTAGGGTGTTTGGACAGAAAGTTTGCGTTTCAGTCACTCAGAAGTAGTCGTTTCTAGTTATGATCAAGAAGTCTTACTTCTGTTTGACAGGAGAAGAAGAAAACTTGTTTTGAGGTGGGTAATTGGTAGTTGTGCCATGTGTTGTACAGTATAGGTTACTTGTTTGACAGCGAAAACCTGGATGCAATGTGTAATAGCTACGAGGAAACATCTTAGTATTTGTTTGGCATTCGAGGGTGTGTGCTCTCCAATTTTCATTATATGGCATAGATATTGAAGGGCCTAACTGAAAGTAAGTGAAGATACTATTTGAACCAATGTTCGTCTAAGATTTAAAAACCCATTCAGGATTAGTTGAAATTTGGACTCTTTCGAGCTTGTGGTTCATCCATGAATGTTCCTTTCTGCCTCTGGAGAAAAGATGCAGAGACGGTTGAGGAAATCATGGAGGCAGCCGAGTGGTGCAGTGATTCACAAATATATTTCTTGGTGTTTGGTTTCATTTTCTGAACATCTCTCTCCTCATTTATTTTCTCTCTGCTCAGTCAGGACAGGAAGTTTATTGTGAAGACTGATTACAGCCATATTTATACTGGTGTTTTTTCCCCCACTCTGTCCTCAGTCATCACTGTGTTTAGACTTACAGCAGGAAGCTACTGCTTTTCCAGATTACAGCCAAATATACACACTTGCAGCCTTTGCTTATCTTTTCTGATTTTTAGGTACACAGTTGTTTTTGGATGCCTCTGAGGGACTTTTCAATTTTAAAATGTCTGCACAATTGAGATATGAAGTGAACACTTCCTTAGCTCTCAGTGTGATTTGAGGAGTACAACATGACTCAGAAGAGACTTTCATTGACTCCATACTTGACGTCATGCACAGGATGATGAATCATGCCATGGGTTTCTTGCCTTAATCACAGGATGTCTTCAGAATGCAGGGTTTAGGTTTGCTACCAAGGCTTGACTCTATCCTGCTTCATTACAATTTAACAGGAGTGAACTTTAAGGAGGTGAACGAAGAGAACAAACAGAAGCTTTTTGGAGAGATCTACACCGCTATCGACACATTGGCATTCACGTTTGGCAATGTGTAAGTATGATGTCATCACTATTGATTGCCCATTGTTACTCCATTAAATTGCAGATTCTTAATCAAGCCCAGGTTTTTGAAAGAGCAACTGTATTTGCTCCTTGTTGTTTTTGAGAGTAAATAATTAATGTAAGTCAATAAATCGGCTAACATAAAAGCAAAAATAAACAATCACAAAAAGCAATAGGGATGCTATGGAGACAGCCTTCAAGTACATAAAAAATGAGAATACAGAATAAATAATAAATAAATAATAATAAATTAATCATTACAAATATGTCTGTGTAAATACCAAGCTGACAAATACATTGGATAAGATATTTCGTCTTGAACATTAAAGGGGCACTCCACTGAATTGCTGATTTTCAAAGTTTGAAAAAATAACCCTGATGACATCATCAGAGTTATTTTTTTAAAATGTTACATTCTTAAATAGAAGTTTTGCCTTACAAAGTGGAGAATGTGAAAAGTGGGCATTTAGGAGGCAGGAGGCAGGAGGACAGCGAAAGATACTATCACCACTACTACTACTGATGAAAGATACTCCAGAGCTGCATTATGGGTACTGCAGAATCTGATGTTTTTGTAGTTTGACCCATGCTAGAGACAGGATATTGTAGCCTTTGGTGGATCTGTTTTGGCCATTCTTTTTAAAAATCTGTTTCTTTTACTTTATGGAAGTACAATACAAAAGAGCTGGAGTACCCCTTTAAAACCCAATAATCTAAAACACAATGATGTAATGTTTTAAACAGACTCCTCTTGCATATGTTGTATCTGATCAATTTCACCCTTTGTCAACCCAGTCTGTTGATTTCCCTGTCTTTTTTCCTTCAGAGTGTCTGACTTCCTTATGGGAGATGTAGAGAATGGATCAGTGTTGGGGCTCCCCCTAACTAAGAGAAGCAGGGTAAGAAAACTGCCATATTTATTTATATATATATATACATATATATATATATATATATATATATATATATATATCAAATTGATATTTAACATGTTCCGTAGCTGTGCTTGGCATCAAAAATAAAAGGCTGACATTAGTATATTCATATGCCCCCATTCTTGTACACACACACACTTATCCTTAGTTCATTCACTGACCTGTTAACGCCAGGATGTGGTCTACTGCCCCTGAAATGTCAAGTAAAAGATATGAAAAATTAGCCTGCAGAGTCCAGGGGTTAAGCGAGTGCTTGCAGATTGACGCATGTTCCTGAAATGGTCTCTGCAAAAGATGAATTAATCTATGCTTTGTTGTTTTCCTGCAGTTGGTTTTATAAGTGCTCTAGAAAGGAAGTCATGGTTCTGATAAGCCTTGTTTAAAGAATGTTTGCAGAGCCTAACGTGCTTTGAGTCGGAAATTCATCCACCCCCTTGGTATATTTTTTTTTCCCCATCTGTCTGTTTTTCAGTCTTTTGAGAACCTTTCTGTGGAATCTGGAGGATCCGGTCCTGAGAAAGATGATCCGCCAGGTAAGACAGATCCCTGTAACACATAGCTACTGTACTCTGGTGCTGCTATGTGAAAGTGTGGAAGGGGGAACTAATCCTTCTAATTTGTTGGAAAAAAGCTTATTCATAAATCAGTCTTAAGCCGAGCTACTGCTGCTGTTTCTGCTTGATCGTTCTGCGTTATGGCCTTTTGTTTGTGCTGCATCACTGCCATTGCAGGTATATTAGAGCAGTGTCTGTAGGGTTATCGGGGGTAAGAGCACTAGTAGCTCTCACGTCTTGATGACCAGTCTCCTTAACCCCTTATTAATACATCCAGCAGTCAGTCCTCTGTCAGCATTACTTACCTTCAAATGGTATTAGCCCATATCACACTCACACAAGGTCAGTGTGGGCTTTTCTCCATGACTCAATCACAGATGTTGTTAGCTAAACACATATGTCCAGCAGCGGTGAGCGGTATGATACGTGGGGGTTTGCCACTGCCGGTCATTTTTAAGCCCATCTTTTACAAGCTCCCTCGTGGGATCCCTGTGGTTGTCACAGGGCTGTGTCTGCCGGTTCGGGTGGAAGAGGTGGACAGGACGCTGCAGCGGCAGGACAGCGGGGTGGAGTCCGCGCTGCTCTACGCCAAGGCCTGGTCCAAGTACACCAAAGAGCTGCTGGCATGGGTGGAAAAACGTCTCAACATGGGTGAGTTAATGCACAGGTGGAAGGATAAATACATAGAATATTTCTGACATGTAGGGAGGCAGCAGCGGAGTAGCACCTATCACGCTAAAGTACAAAAGTTAGCTAGTGTCATGGACTATGTACTTAACTTAAGTACACATGACATAGTCCTTAAGCTTCATTACATATTTACACAAGTGTGTGTAGTCATGTCAGGACATCTTCATGAGATGTTGTCATGTACATTTAGGCTTTTAAAAAGCAACAACACTAATTTCTGTGCCTATTTAAAACAATGGTATCAAGTTAAAGATCCTTCAAGGTAGGTTATAAGACATATAAAACTACTCTGTTTGAATATGATTTTGATATAGTTTTTCCACACAAACGTTCAGTTACATAGTCAAAGAAAAATATAGCATCTATATCATCTTTGTCACTGAAAAATCTAAAAATCAGATTATGTAAAAAATATCACATCACACTCGTGTAAGTGTTTCCAAACTAGTTTCTGTTGGGTAACAGACTCCTGCTCCTATATTCACCTGTCAAACTCAGATTTAAGATGAGGACATCACATCCTTTTTGGATGTGAAAACAGCCCTCTAGTGTTGAACACTTCACAGACATCATTCTGCACAGTAAAGGTCAAACCTCCAAGTCACGAAACAATAAGCAAAACACGCTGGCTGGCAGTTTTTAGCTGTACTTACTTTACATCCACTTGAATGCCTACTCTTATCTGGGAAAAACCTACTGGAAATACTGTTCATGAGCAAATGGTTTTCCTGATGTCTTTGTATAGTTTCAGATTTTTCATTAGCTCTGTTCAATGGGAAATAGTATAATATTTTTCCATTTTTTAATTTTATTTTGGTTCATACGTTCAGTTGGTCTTAAACATAGCTCCATGCAGCACATGGTAGATGAAAATGTTTTAAATTATTCTACGTATTGCAGCACAGAATTCAGCTCTGGAACAAATTTGGGTATTAATTAGATTTCACTCAATCACCTGAACTGGACTTAAAACAATGGCACCTTATCCGGGCTCAAGGTTGAATGTGCAGTGTGAGAGCTTTCGTTCAGTTCACTGGTTAATGAATGGTTTCAGTCTAATACTCAGTCATTTGGCCGGTCAACACAGTGACACAAAGGACTCAGTCAGGTCGTACAGTACGTTTGTTATCAGGTGAACAGACGGCTTGTTTGTTTAACACATCCAAATGCTTTATTTAGTGATTAGTTTTATAGAAGTGGCGGATGACTCAAGGACATTGTATGATTTAATCAGAATGTACTTTAAATGATTTTCAGTCAGTTGTGTATTTTAAAAAAAATGGTTAATACAAAAAGGTACTGCAGCACAATGCAAATGTTTGTACACAGGGAAATGACAATCTGCAGGCCAGTAGAGAGTAATTATATGTAAACCTTGGTGTGGTCTATTTTTAGATATCGAGTGTGCGAAGAGTTACGCCAAAATGGCAGAATCTGCCAAGACGCTCGCAAGTCAGCAGGTGAGTACATATTGATGCTAACTTGACTTGCATTCATAAGTTTTGCTGCCGCCTTTAAGACTTTCTCCTCTTCACTGAAGGAATTCATGCCTTTCCGTGAGATCTACATGACTGCTTTCAAAAATGACAGTGAATACAGCCAGTTGGTACTTCACACTGCAGCAGTGCTCCAAAGCAACAAATTCATGCAGGTAATCAGCAAAACAGCTACTGCTTGGTACTTTGAACAACTTGGGTTGTTTAATAGAAACAGGAGGACTTACTGACTGACTGTGTGTGTGTGTGTGTGTGTGTGTGTGTGTGTGTGTGGTGGTGGTGGTGGTGGGGGTTACGTGTTTCTCTCCAGCCTCTCCTGGCCAGAAAGAATGAGCTGGACAAACTACGAAAAGAGGTCAAGGAGCAGTGGCAGAGAGAGCAAAAGAAGATGGTGAGTTGACAACCATAAAGGCTGTGCTCTGAAGAGGGCCCCACACAAATGCATCCAGAATCTAAAGCTTATTTCGCTGACCTGTGGACGTGGTCCAAGAAATGCTCTTGAAGGGCCTCAGCCCAGTATACACATGCATACAAATGCTTTTGTCAGGTAGTAATGCAGCCTACCAGGACAATCATTCTGCTCCACTTATGATAGAAAGAGCATAATTTATTTAGCTAATAACACTTACCACTGTAATTGCTCATGATCAGTCATTTGTAGATTAATTGCTTTTTAACATTAAAGTAGTTTTTAATGTTAAGTGGCACTCGTAAAGGACCCACACTTGAAGATAAATCAATCATTAAACATAAATTATGTAATATTGTATAAATTACTTTGGTCCCATTTACTATTAAGATAAAAGTGGATATAACCTTAAATGCTACGTTTTTGTGATGGCTTTGGTTAGCGTTGGAGTAAAACAAACCTACTTTTGGTTTGAATGTAGAAATTTGCACAAATTCTTAAAGCTTCCTGTGTGTCACTGAGTTAAGATGGTGATGAAGTAGTCATTTTCATTTCAGGGGAAGAAAGACAAAGGAAAAGTGGCAAGATCAGACGCTTTTAGTCTATACTGCAATGTTGCGCTTATGTTGTACGTGGCATGTCTGTTTTTGCATGTAGGTGCTGCATGTGTGTGGTCTGTGCTTTAAATTAATACGTGTACATCTCCACAGCATGAGGCCGACAGTGCTCTGAGGAAGGCTCGGCTGCTGCAGGTCCAGCGGCAGGAGGAATATGAGAAGGCCAAAGTGTCCACCAGCCGCCTGGAGGAGGAGCAGATGGGAGGAGGAGGGGGAGCGGCAGCGGCCAAACAGCTAGAGAAGAGGCGCCGGCTGGAGGAGGATGCCCTGCAGAAGGTACAGCACCTCCTCTGCTGGGCTGATAGCTCAGCACAAACGTGCACAAATGTGGTATATTGTAGATTTGTATGGGTCCTGAACTCATCTCATAGGATTATATATACATTAATAGTAAACAAATATGACCGTTATGGAATAGAATACCAGCCTCTTTTGGCTGTTATCGGCTCTCAATTTACCATTTACCAAACATGAAACATCTAGTAATAATAATAATAATAATGATAATAACAACAACTGATCTACCTTGTGTTTGCAGGCTGAGGAGGCCAGGGAGCACTGCAAAGCCTGTCAGATTGATGTTGGAGAGAAGAGAGTGGATCTTGCCAACACCAAGAGTGAGATCATCACTCAGATCCGAGAGATGGTCTCTCAGTGCGACCTCACCCTCAAGGCTGTAAGTTTAGGTTTTGGTGCTATAAAAGTTTATTTGAAGTTTGGACTACTTGGAATGATGGAAGCAGTGGACTATCCAGGACAGACTGAAGAGGAGGCACTGGGATTTTAACCACATTTTACTACAGTTTCAGAAATATATGGAAGCAGTTCCTGCAGGATAAAAATGTTTGTTTACTTTTTGTAGGTGACAGTCAATTGGTTCCAGCTCCAACAGGCCCAGGTTGTATCCCTCCCTGTCAACCACCAGAGTCTGTGTGAAAATGCCAAGCTGTACGAGCCTGGCCAGCGCTACATCGACTTTGTCAGGAGTTTGCCCACTGACGGGCCTCGCCTGGAGTCCCACTCGTTTGATTCAGCTGTTACACAAAGCACAGGGTGAGACATCGTGACTCTGTGGTTGTCATCCTAATCTGATCTGATTTGCTTTTAAACAGCAGGTTTCCTATTATGGATCATGAGCCATACCGGAATGTCCTCCTCCTAGATATCTGATGCTTAGGGTTTTGTACCTAAATTTAACTATGCCAATCCCCTCAGTTATCAGTGTTTATGTTTACTATGTCAGATTTGATCAAAGAAATGACTGAGTTATTTTTCTAAGACAGATAACAAGCTCTCAGGAGGGTTAACAGTCACAAAGTGAGTTTACTTTCACTCTCATTTAGTTAATTGAAATGTTCAGTAAAAAAAGTCCCAGTCTTTACATGTAGTGGTTATGATATATATTATTTTTATACTGTATCTGAAGCTTAAATGTGGCGTCACAGGATTCTGTGGGAAGATGAACATTTATTTGTGGTAAACAAGTGGTTGTAAATACAGTGGCGCTGTAGACCTCACTGCAGAGGTGCAGTGAGTCAGTGAGAGAGCTTGTTTTGGAAAGCATAAAACAATCAGGTTGGCTGGGTCTTCCTGCGGAAATGACTGCGGTCACGGGAGAGAGGAGCAGGGGCAGTTTCACTGAACCTCTTTGAAAGGTTTCAGTAGTTTTCAAACCGTATACACATTGTCTGACTAAACTAAAACATGGTGCTTATTCTATATTTGGGCAACTTTAGCACTCAGAAAGCTTTGGTCCAAAAAGTTAGTTTCCTTTTGGGAGAGTTTTGTTGACACAGGTTTGTGGTCACACACACACCCCAGGCAGATGGAAATAAGAGAGTGCTTTGTTCTCACTTAGTTTTCTCCTTCCACACCCCCAACCCCCCAACTCTGATCCCACTGATCAAAAGAATTCAGCTTGGGAGAGAGGAAATAAAACACACACATGCTCATATGCATCCTCAACGCTGGTCCTCAAAAGGTTAAATATAGACCGCTGACCTACATATTGTATATTGTGAGATAAAGTGGGATACTACTCATTAACAATGGCTGGCATGGTTTGCACATCAGCCATTCTGAAGCCTGTAAGTCAGTTAATCATCATTGTTCTCTAATTAACTGCTGTCTTTGATGGTAAAGTGGGACTGATCTCATAATATCAGGATCATTCAGGGAACATCTTGAATATAATTTGATTCTGCAGTGTAGGAATTACAGATACTGATCTAATTTAAAATTGTCTGGCCTATGTTATTGCTTGACATATGAGACTAATCACACTATAATAGAGACAACTCTTAAATTTCAGGAGCATTTCCACAGTTAATTATGGCCAAAAAAGGAGAAATTTAGATTGAATGACATGAAAGTGCTTTTCTGTTCTTTGAATTTTTTTTAACCAACTTGAGGCTCTAAGGATGGAATGTGCCGCATGTCATATAGATTATAAAGTCTAGTGAGGCAAATAAAATCTTGATCAGGAATTGAACACCAAGAGTACCTTCAGAAAAAAGTTACTATACTGTATATACAGCAGATTAGATCAATCAGCACAACATTGTCATTTAAAGAAAAAGTCTCTTGAATTTGGTATCTATGAAGAAACACACTGGAATTTTACTTAAGAGTAACACTAATGTCAGTCTGTAAATCCTCTTTCCTCCTGCAATCAAATATATTTTATTACTGTGAGGTTTTTCAGTGTCCCATTATAACCACACACAGTTTTTAGTGGATTTTCTGAATAGATATTGAATATAAGGCACAAAATGCTGAACATCATGAGTGTCTGAGTTTCAGCCTTCAAAAATGCATGTTGCTTTGAGGCACTGTAGGTTTATTATAAACAACAGCATTATATTTATTCCATCATTTTCCTCCCCAGGTTGCCTTTCAACAAGCGCTCGCTAAGTGGCTACCACTCGTCCCACAGTAACCTGTCGCAGGCATCCGTGACTTCTGACCTCCTTGGTGGAGATGACGTAGACAGTCCCATCAATGCCCAGCATACCAAGATTGCAGAACGGCGCTCCAACAGTAGCATAGACATCCAAGGTATGCATGTTTACCTTTTGCATAGTAACTGCTTCTCTTAGATAGTGTCTTAAAATGTTTGAGCAAACATGGACAAACATGTAATTACTGGTCAAATGCAGTCGACATGACGTCATGTAGAAATCATCATCGGTAAACACGAAGTCCTTGTGTAAGCCTGACTGGATCCTGACAGCAAAAGCTGTTTTCTAGAGCTGTCATGTGCATTGTTTACCAAACTAACTGGGTAAATTTCATTATATAACAGACAGAAATGGCACATTTTACAATTCTACATTCCTCAGTAGTCCAAAAGGTCGTAGAGCCAGGTACAGAGGCTTTAAAGTGCAGCCGATTTTCTTGTGTTGTTGTCTCCTTTTGTTTTCTTTTATTTATGTATGCAAGTTGGATCCACCCAGATCTTTTCAGGCACCATTGTGCTAATAGGTCCATCAGTGGTTAATGCACTAACCCTATTTTTCTAGGCCCATTTATTAAAGACAGATATGCACAAACACACATACTCATTTAAACAAGTTCATTTTTAACTGAGATTAATCTCAAAGCTATCTAAGTTAACATAGATATTTAAGTAATAGTGAAGTGTTGGAGTTGCATTTTTACAACACATGACTGAGATATTATTTAATGCCTTTCGATGCTCAATTTTGTTTTTATCCAGCACTTCGGATTCAGACCCCATTTCGTCCCTGGGCCACGGCCGGCCAAGGTGGAGGGATGTGCAGCGACTCAGAAAGTGCTGGAGGGAGCAGTGAGTCCCGCTCCATGGACTCACCCACTGCGAGTCCAGGTAGGACCATGGGAGACACAGTGTGCCTAAATTAATTTCATCATTTTCTTAGCTTTAAATTGAACTTAGTTTACCTTAAATTAGCTCTTTACAAGACAGATTATTCTTAATGAACAACATGAGGCAAGATCAAGCATGGTGTCCTGCATAACAGTTGTGTGTGAGTGTGTGTTCACAAAGTAAGAAATTGTTGTAACAGGATAAAAACAAACAAAAACAAAACATGCATGGCTTACTGTTTTTTTTAGGTTGTGTTAATGGTCAGGCTGCTTGTTAATTAATTAGGATAGCATTCTAACAGCTTCATGTGTTCTTTTGTTCCCCTGCATAAATCTTTGCCTGCTGTCACATTTTCTATCAAGGAAGTCCAAACACATTCTCCACCTCTGAAGCGTTTGTGTTTACCGTACAGCCAAGGAAGTTAAATCATCAGGTTTCCCACACTCGTCATATAGCACGCAGCTTTAAGTATCAGATGGGTCAGGCTTAGGTCATTGATAAAGCAACAACACCTTGCAAATGATAGACAGGATGGGCATTCCTCAGTGCTGACTGTCTTAAATGCCCCCGGGGCCTCCATGTACTTTTTTCCCTATGAACGTGATGTTCACCCAACTTTGTTGGCAAGTTATCTGAGAATCCAGGGGCTTAGCCATCCCTGACAGGGCCTCTTGGTTTTAACATTATGCAACTGTATCAGTCTACAATGTACACAAACATAAAAAAGTAGCTTTGGTGTTTGGGTTACTCTCTGTGTTTCCTCTGTTGCTGTGCAACAGCACATATGTGTCACAGTGTAATGTCCTTAGAAGAACAAATCAGGATCTAGCATGACTCCTGCAAGTGTTTGCAGGTGAAAACATGTTTTTGAAAAATGTGTGTCTGTCCATGCAAGACCTTTTGGTATGTGTTTCTCTCATCAAGTGAGCCTTTCACTAATTAGACAATTTGACAGTCACAAGTAGTCTATTGCAAACTATGAGCATGTTATACACATATTATATTTACTGGTTTCGCCATTGCACAGTAGATATTAACACAATATCCTGTTTCCTTCTTTCTTGAATTAATGTCTATATAAGAATTTATAATTTACTATTTGTCCTTGGCTGGGGGAGGATGGTAGTTTGTCAGTCAACTGTTAGTAATAACGTATATCAAAATGTGGAAGGGTAGTATGCCATTTTTAGTTGTACCAAAGTGCCTACAATGCAATCCCCACTTCCACCCACCAACAACCAAGGTGTTAACGGTGTAGGAGTTTATCCCTGATGAGACAATGAGGGCTGAGCCTCCTGATTGGCTAAACAACATTATTAAAATTAGGTCTATTGGAAATCATTAATCAGTCAATGGACTTGTGAATCACCCGACAATCCCTAACTGGATTGTCTTGGTTATCAACAACATGTAGTCGACCACACCTCTTCATTGATGCATTAAATTGAAAAAGTTGTCACAGTCCGGGGCTCAGCACACCTCATTGCCACCACTGTGATGTAGAAGACAGGGAGCAGAAAAGGAAAGAAACTGACTTGAAGTGACTGTGAAGATGTGGACTCACTGGTGTGTCCTGCCTTACTGTTCAGGAGACTTCAAGCGGAGATTACCCAGAACCCCCTCCACTGGCACCATGTCTTCCGCTGATGATCTGGATGAGAGAGAGCCTCCCTCGCCCTCTGATAACGGTGAGTCAAACTGAACACTCACGAATGTTGCACCACATCATTCCCCTTTTTCCACATGTTTTCAACATGTCTTGTCTGTTAGTTAGTTCTTAAGTTATCCTTTTTATCCTACATTGCATATATTTAGCTTGTTCTTGTATTATTATCTTTCTTCATTCTGGATTTTCTTATATATTTCTATATATTGTATATGTGTTAATATGTATAATCTATTCTGTATGAAAATGACCTTATTCTCAGTATCTTCTTAAAGTACATAAGGGACAGGCAGATGATGGCTTCTAATGCCCTCTCCCCTTTCACTCTGCAGGTTTAAGCGAGATTGTAATAGAGACAGCCAGCTCCCCAGGTCCCTTTAGAAACACCCAGATGTCCAAGGCAGCTCAAACCCACAAGCTGAGGAAGCTCAGAGCACCCTCCAAGTGTCGAGAGTGCGATGGCCTGGTGGTGTTTCATGGAGCAGAGTGTGAGGAGGTAACCTTGGTTTCTTCTTTCTTTTCATTCTTTTTTTTTTTTTTCTTTTTTTAGAATGAATAGAACCAACCACGACTCTCTTTGGACCTTTTATTAAATGTAGTGAGTCAAAGTACAAGTTCAGGATGAACATTGCCAAAGTTTCACAATGGCTTCTTTATCATTCATGGAATGCAAAAAATCAAACTAAAACAAAAGAGAAAGACCACCTCTGCCCTCATCAAAACACTTGAATAAAGGGGAGAGTTGAATCTGGCCACAAACTCTCCTCAGAGACCAAATCCACCAACTGGTCTCAGTCGGGGGAGCGGGCAGTGGAAACTGAAGACCTTTTGTTTGTCTTCCGAGGAGTCCCCTCCATCAACCCCGTGCCGTCGCGCCCCCCCCCCCCCCCCCCCCCCGTTTATTTTAGATCCAGTTTCTTTCCATATTTATTACAAACAATGAACAAGGCAATAACAAAGGGGTTGCTGGACATTTTTTTTAAAGATTGGTTATGTAATGCTGGTAAACACACTGACAGGAGCATAAGCATAAGAACACAACTCTGCAGTGTATTGGAATCTTTCCATGGTATTGGTTCAATGGGTTACGTGTCATGCAGCTTTCTGTGTTTGTTTTTTTGTCTTAATTCACTGTGTAGTTCCCAAAAGTGACTTTGTGAGGATGTATTTTTGTTCCCAAATTTTAAACACTGAACCAGCTGGATTTGATGCTTTAAAATGGCTTTGAGGTATAGAGACAGGGTGTCTGTTGGTCTCCTAGAGTGGGACGTCCCAAAAGTCCCAGGAAGTGTGTGTTTGTAGGATCGTATGCTTTTCTGCATTTGCTTTACTTTTCTTATACCAACCATTAAGATGGTCAGCAGGGACAAATACAGTTCCACCTCATCCATTTTATTCTCCACCTTTTAAGCTGTTTGTTGCAACTGCCCTTTTTTTGAGTGACTGAGATACATGTCGACTTGTGTGCAGTGTTCTTTGGCCTGCCACAAGAAGTGTCTGGAAACCCTGGCCATCCAGTGTGGCCATAAGAAGCTCCAGGGGAGGCTTCACCTCTTTGGCATCGACTTCACACAGGCAGCGAAGAACAGTCAGGACTGCATCCCCTTCATCATACGGAAGTGTACGTCAGAGATCGAGAACAGAGCGCTCAACATGAAGGTATTTCCAGTCAGATATGAAAGATAAAATGATTCTTGTCACATCAATAGAGGGTTGAGTTGTATTGTTCATGACAATGTTACTCACAATTAGAAAAGAGGTATTGAAAAGCTTCCTCAAACATTTTCTTTTTGGCTTGGCTTAAGAGGATCTAACTGTGACTCAAAATATAAAATGCAGTGGTTAGGCCGGTAGAGGCTGCTGGTGTTGTCATTCATAATGGTTTTCAGGAATTATTCTTAAGTCTCAACATGAAAAGTGATTTCTGGGAAATAACAGCAATGCACAAGTTACATTTGCAAACACTTTCCTGGCACCAGATTAGATTGCATAATTCTTTAACCCACATTCTTTAATTTAAAGCCTGGACGAACTTTCTGTAAATGCATATACTGTGCAACGCTTATGTTTCTAATCCTGTTAATATTCGGCAGCTGTGATCACCCAGTGTCACCATGGTGAGCCAGAAAATTGCATCTAATTTTCCCGAGTTTGAATGCATTTTGTTTTTGTGCTGTGAAGGGTATCTACCGTGTGAATGGTGCCAAGTCTCGGGTGGAGAAGTTGTGCCAGGCGTTTGAGAACGGCAAGGACCTGGTGGAACTCTCCGACCTTTATCCCCACGACATTAGCAACGTACTCAAACTCTACTTGAGACAGGTGAGCTGCTTATGAAACCTTACCTATAACATAATAACCTGCAAAGGTGGCCACCTAAATACAGACACGAGATAGTTAAAAGTGACTCTGCTGAACAAAACCACCGCAGTGGTGTTTATTTGTCTTTGTTTATTTTTAGCCCATGTTCTCCACTTCTCATCCCCTAATCCCCACTTGTGTATTTGCTTATATATTTCAGTTGTTTCTGTTTATCATTAACTTCCTTGTTTCATTTGTTTTACTTGATCTCATTTCCTCCATGTTTTCCCTGGCAGCTTCCAGAGCCACTCATCCTGTTCCGCTTCTATAACGACTTCATCGGTTTGGCCAAGGAAAGCCAGAGTGTCATTGTGGAGGAACTGGAGGCGTTACGTCTCAGTCCCACCCCGGTGGCCTCGGCTCAGGTCAGCGTGGATCTCAACCGGGTCCTCTTCAAGATCAAGGACCTGCTGAGGCAGCTGCCACCAGCTCATTACAAGACACTGCAGTTCCTAATAGAGCATCTGCACCGGTAGGCCTCAATCACATCACACACAACACAGATTTCTGTTGAGTGCATTATTAAACTGTTCCTACTTGCGAAAAGTTTTCAAATAGTGATCTGATAATTACTAATTGATTATTCATCCTCTCCTCTTCTTTCCTCTCCAGGGTCACAGAGCGGTCAGAGGAGAATAAGATGACGGCCAGCAACCTGGGTATCATCTTCGGTCCAACACTGATCAAGCCAAGGCAGGCAGACGCTGAAGTTTCTCTCTCCTCTCTGGTGGATTACCCCTATCAAGCACTCATTGTGGAGCTCCTGATCAGACACTATGAGATGGTCTTTGACACCCCCCTCAGTCCACTAAGCATCACCTCGCCTTCAGAGGTTGATGCCCACCCTAGCCCCGACACCCGCCTCACCCACCAGGAGAAGGAGAGGCGGCTGAGCAGGCACTCTAAGTCGCTGGGAGATATTAAGGAGGTAATGTGTTTTTCATGCTAAAAATGGGATCATGCACAGCAGGGTTGTCCTTTTCTCATTTAACATAAAACATACATTGACGCTACGTTGTCTGCCCTACCATACAGCAAACCTCTAAGGTGTATAAAAGGCATTCCTCCATTATTCCTTCTTCCCACTTACTGGCTGAGGTTGAGGAGACCACGCCGAGCCTCGATGGAAGTGACTTTGAACCTGGTCAGTGTTGTTTCAAACCTAGATAAACAATAGAGAACATTATTACTCTCATTATTATTATTATTATTATTATTACTTCAGAATATTTTCTTAAAGCTCTCTGCAAGATATTATCTATGAATTTCTGAAGTCCACGTCATTTTAATTGATATGTTAATGTCTAATCATTTTTTAATTCTCTGTGTTTAAAGTTGATGAAGTGGATTCAGAGACCCTCAATGGGGTTTTATCATCAGGTGTCCCTGAAGTCCCGAAACCTGGCGAGAGAGGGCTCTGTCGTTCACAGCATATCACAGTCACCAGGGTCCAGCTTCGACACCCTCGCAACAAACTCTCCTCCCGGCCGGTCAGCATGCCAGCTGAACAGATTCTAAGCCGAGGCCAAGTCGACGAGAACAACAGCTGGAACAGCGCTGACCAAGACGTCAGGAAAGGAGGCAGCTGTGACCAGTCCATCGAGGAGGTGGACGAAACGGAGAATACAAAATTGCGAGTGGCCACGCATTACCGGAGTACATTTATTGACACCCAGACATTACGCAGAACTTGGGACAAACAGTACAAGCACGATGTTGCTTCTAGGTCTGTCAGAATTGTGGCCAGTTCGTCCACAGAGAGCACAGCAGCGGATGCCAGCAACTTATCAACTTCTGTGCCATCAACCCTCTCCCTTGGAACTACAGGGGACACTATTAGCACCATCTACCCCAACAGACCTTACACCGTCGCAGTGCGACCTAGCAGGACTTTAAGAAGAGAGGACAATGTAATCAAGTATAGCCCCATCACAACAGCTTTCAGGGCTCCCAGGACTCTCCAGCCTCCCCCTGGAACCTTCTACAAGCCCCCATCGGGGAGCAAAGCTAAAGCGCTGCAGAACTGTGTGTTAACTAACAGTGCTGAGGAAGAAGATGATGATGAGGAGGAGGAGGAGGAGGAGGAGGATGATGAGGAGGAGGAGTTGGGGATTGAGATAGAAGTGTCTGTAGATGAGCCTCTTGAAGAGGTCACAGAGGCTGAGCAGGTGGCCATGTCTCAGTCTCCCAGTTCTAGCCCTGAGGAACTGGGCCAAAACCAGGCCAAACCAGTGTACCAGAGACTAAGGCCCAGACGCCTCCAAGAGGTGGAACATCGAGAGGCTCATTTTGTGTGATTCTCTTAGAGTCAGGGGCTATCACAGATCTAAGAAACAGTGGTGGAATGTGAACACTGTGTGCCATATTCTGTTGGTGAAAGAATAAAAAACATCTGCGTTGGCAGTGCAAAGACGATTTCCAGATGTGCTATCATTGTGGGCATTGTGTGGAGAATTAAATGTACCTTTGTCCTCAAAAGACAAACAGGATGCACTTAAACTGCTGTATATTTTTTAACATGATTCACCAATATTTCATTTACCAATCACCTACTCAGTACACTCTGGCACCTGGTCAGAATATTTATAAATTTTTCTTTTGAAACTGTGCAATTACATTTTATTTGAATATTTTGTATAAAGTTCTTACACGCTCACTATCTATGTATGTTTATATACCAAAAACTATGTTTGAATCTTTACAATAGTGCATGTAGCCATGACTTTGAAAAAAAAAAGTTTGGTGCACTTACCTGACATGAATACTCTTCCACAAATCATGTTTCTACTGTGAGTCATAATGTTTCAAACTGTTACATTTAGGTTATAATTAATCATTTTGCTAATAACTTGTGTATAAAGCAATATAATGACCCTTGTTACTTGCTGTACTGAATATTTGTATTGGCATCTGCTAATGTTATGAAGCAGCGGTTGCAAAGGGTGTACATCCACTTGTTTTATACTGTTGAACTTGTATGGTGTCAACTCAAACTGTTCTGAAAAGCTTTTAGAAATGCCATGGCATTATCTTTCTTATTTTAAGATAACATCTACATTTCATAATAGCCAAAGTGTTTTTCTTTTCTTTTCTTTTCTTTTTTTTTTTTTAAACTGAAGTATTTTTTATCATTAACCTAAATCTTACAGTATCTTTGTAAGTAATAGGAAACACATCATTTATTTAAATGGTATCTGTTTTTCATGGTAATGTACAAGGTTGACAGAATGTTGTTGAAAAGTTCAGTGTAAAAAAAAAAAAAACAGGTACATGAAAACAAACACCCTTTTGTAACTTATTAAAATATATCTGACAACTTCCAATCATGATGGTTTGATTTTTTTTTATTTTTCAAATGATTAAAATTTGCAACAACTTTATTGAACAAAGAAGAATAATTTCCATGATTATCAGTAGTTTTGCAATGTTGAGCTCTTGTTTAGCAAGAAGAGCTTGATCCATGTTGTACAGTGAACCAAACAGTGTGATGACCTGCGAAAAGATTCTTCAGTTGTAATTCAAAATGGGGATATTTATTAAACAGTGGTAAGACTATAACAGTAGTAGGATTATACAGTATGAGTGCCAGGTGGTTAGGTCATGAAGGCCTCTACAAATGGATGAGAGGCATTGACAGTGTCCCAACACTGAGAAAGGAGATTAAATCAATCTGCTTAACTATTCACAAGGTCTGGAAACAAGCTGTGTTAGCAACCTCAAGGAACACTCGGTACAATATGCCGTGTTATGCTTTATTTACTGGCTGTCAGTCTACACTGTTCTTCTGAGGTAAGTGATACTATGCTATTCTGTACTTTATGCTTTAAAATGTAGCCATATTATATATATCTAATTAGTGATTTTGGAGCCATAAAATTACATAATAGTTGTAACTAACCTAGATTAAAGATAAAGTGATTGTGATTGTGATTGTGATTGTGATTTGCAACTGCAATGTGCAGGATCCGTTGCTGTTTGGTGGGGACATTAACCATGAATAGTAACCAGAGCATATTCTTAGACTGCGGGAAGGTCTATAATTGTTACGCTAGCCATGTGAAGTGTACAGCTCATTAACCTCATTGCAGAGCTATTGCTGGCTTTCACATGGAGCTGTGTGAATGAAGGGACAGCTCTGACGTGCATAGCAGTTCATCCACAAAGTATAGCTTTCACAATGCAAACTTTTAAAGTTGTTGATTTTTTTTGCAATGCCTAAGGAGGCTTCATTTGGATTATAGTAGCACTGTGGGATGGTTGAATACAGGTTTGTTGGCTGGTGCCAGCCCCTGCGGGGGTGAAAAGGAGGAGCCAGCCATGGGGGCAGGAAGACAGGTCAAACTCCTGCTGTGGAAGAACTGGACCGTCCGCAGGAGGCAGAGGGTAAAATCCTCTCAGTCATTAACTACAAACTACATTTGTCAAGTTAGCTAAAATGCTTTCAGGTCTGATTCTTTGCTGATGATACCATCTAATTTTTTTTCCCAAAAATGGAGCCTGATCATGATCATCTATACAGTCCATGCTTAAGGATAAATTATGAAAATACCCCACTATACTTGTGTCAGAGTAAGGTTTATTTATGTAGCCCAAAATTTGCATTAGAGGGTTTTACAATCTGTACAACACATGATTAAACTAAAAAAAGTATCAAAGCATTTCCAGGTTTGAAGCACATAAGCACATAAATCAGATTTCATGAAAATATCTCCTAAGCCTGCAGCATATTCTGGTAAAACTGATCAGGAGACTCGGTCATAACATTTTGAAAGTTATAATGTTGCCACCAGTTAATGTCCAGCGTTTCCCTTGAGTGATATTTGTGTATCATTCAGTATTGTATTTATACCTGGTAAATTAACTTTTTTTTTTCATCATATGAAATAGTATACTGTATGTATATATATTATATATTATTTCGTCAGCATAATATTTGATGGGCTGTTAGCATCCCCACTGACTTCAAGTCTAGGACTGCCACACCCATGTGAGACTTATTGATTGAGTAATAATAATAAATAATAAAAATAATAGTAACAAAGTGCTGAGGCATTCTTGGCCTATTGCACCAGTTTGCTATATGAACTGTCTTCAAGTTAACTCTTTTGGATTTTTTCATACATAAAACACTCACACACTAATGTCTGCTCATGTATTAAATTAATGAGTCACTCACTGCTTCCAAAGCAGTCATGTTCATTTTTAGAAAGTTTACGTTGTTCTGTTCCACCAGATACGGTTCTTTATGGAGATCATGTGGCCTGTTATACTGTTCATGGGACTGGTTTGGCTAAGAAGGGTGAATCCACTCTACCGTCAACATGAATGTAAGCAGCAACTCTGTCCTCTGTGGTCCATGGCATCCTATTCATGAATGTTGATAAATGACTTGTGTAGAGCCCTGAAAGCGAACAGTGTCTCCTCTCCCTCAGGCCACTTCCCCAACAAGGCCATGCCCTCCACAGGGGTCCTGCCATGGATCCAGGGAATCTTCTGTAATGCCAACAACCCTTGTTTCCAGTACCCCACCCGTGGTGAATCTCCTGGCCTTGTGTCCAACTACAACAACTCCATGTGAGTATCATGCTGGGCTGGTAGAGGGAGATGGATCTAAGCCAGAGATGTTGAATTCCTATGAAACATTTGACCTGAGATGAAAAGGCAGACTTATTTAATGGAGTCAAAGAGAATGTGTTCAAAAGTCTCTGGATTATGTTTTACTTACCGTCATACATTACAGTCATGTATGAATGTTTATTCCGTCAAGACTAAATGTGTGTGATCTACTATTGACCTCACTTCTCAGATTGGCTCGGTTCTACTCAGATGCCCAGGAGCTTCTTTTTAGTGATCCGCAGTTCATCCAGCTCAGTCGCCTCTGGAGGGAACTGAATGCCATGAGTAACTTCATGGATACTCTGCGCATCCATCCTGAACACATTTCAGGTCAGTGCTCCAGGCTTTCATCAACATACTGTGTTTTAGAGAGTCATGACTTTTTGTAAAACACATCTGCAGATTTAATAGAACTTGGAAAGACAACCTGCAAGTAAACAAACCAGGCAACAAGATATCTTTTTGTTATTATGAATACATACTGATAGATGAAAGCTCGGAGTCACCATCTGATTGAAAAACAATGTCACAGTCTACATCATATCTCACACCTCTATTCCCATGAGCCTGTGTGTATTTGTACAGTGTAACAGGATTACATCACATGGTTTTAAGAAAGGCCCGTAATGTAAGCTGCTTACTTTCACCGCCATCGTTTGTTTATTCTCCCCCCCCCCCCCCATGCTAGCAATCCACTGTCAACGTATGTAAATCTATGCTGTATGTACATCATGTTTCCCTGCTGGCAAAATAAATCTTTATGATGGGAGTGGGATAAGGCTGAGTGCATTCCAGCCTGTGAATGATTATGTCTGGCAGCTCTCTATGCTGCCACTCTCATGGAGAAATATGTAGATGGACTAACAAAGATATGAATCCACATTCCACACAAGTTCCCATGAAAGAAAGAAAAATGAATCATGTTGAGAGCCAAGTTATGTAACTGATGAATTTGACTCATCATGGTCATAGGAGACAGAAAATGTTTGAATGGATTTAATATTCACATTTTAAGGCCCTGGTTATGAACAAGTACAGCCAGGTGTATGTGCTCTATTCAAATGTAGCCTCTGCTGCCTCCTGAGTGTTATGTTGCCTTCATGTGCACCTCGGATATCTTTAATTCCACATGTTACGATTGGATGCCCAACTTGCACATTCAAGCACAATGTTGGTTGTACAAAAGAAACACTGTGATGAAGCATCTGTTTTGACAGTTGTGTGTTGCTTTACCCAGATGCGTAATACCCCCGAGGACATTCATGTCAGCAGTCAGTGCCTCGTAAACTTTCAGGCAGTGTGAGTAACCTCGCCACAAAAACAAATGGCTACATTCAACAGAGATGACACCTTTTTTCTCACCACTTGACACAGTGGAGCTTTCAAAGTTTTCTGTGAAGATTGAAGACACTTATCTGAAGCTGCTGCTGATAACAAATATGCCTAAAAGCCCAATAATATATCACGTTTCTCTGCGACATTTCGCCCCTTTTGGCTAGAAACACACGTTTAAGACTTAAAAACTTTTCTATTCCATGTCCATTTATTACATTCTTTCATCTGGGTATCTAAAATCAATATCTCCGTTTCCACTCCCTTTCTTGATTTCATGTTCTGTACTCTGTAGCTTCCAAAACAAACTTTATTCATGCACAGACAGGCCCCTGAAACAATGAGACAGTGCAGAGGTGGAGTGTCTTAATCCCGTGTTCCGATCCTTTTAATCCTGCAGATTTGTCACAACTTGCCCAAAATATGTGCCACTAAATATCAAGATCAAAAGGAGCTTTAATAAATATGTGTTGGTAGACAGCATATAGTCATTGAACCCAGCTGCATGTGAATGTAAAATTAAAGAGCTGTCATTCACATGCCTTTTCATTCACTTGAACTGCTTCTGTTTTTCTATTTAGGCAGAGGGGTAAAAGTGGAGACTATCCTGAAGGACGATGAAACTCTGACATCATTCCTGCTGAGAGACGTTCCTCTGACAGAGTCTGTGGTGAATCATTTAGTCAATGCTCAAATCAGGCCCGAACAGGTACACGCACACTAATACGCATGCATAAACACACAGCTGTCTGCCAGTCTTGACTCTACATTTTTACCTTGCATGGCACCAGGGCTGTCACACTGTAAATGTTAACAACAATTCTTATATATCTAAGGACCAGAAATTACTGATTTGTTCACTCTGTAGTGTTTCAGGAAGGCAGTAGTTAATCCATTTTGGTGTTTGAGTAATTGTGCAGTGGTTTCAGATTAACAGGTCATGTTCCCAGGTGTGACTGTAGATGTGAATATATGTGTCTGTGTATGAATTGAACTTTCCGGCTTGTTCATTCTCGTGCAAATGTGGCAGGGACATGATGAAAGTTCATTTTAAAATCAGTGCAGATGTGCACACCTGCTATGTCCAAATTAAAGGAAAGGTCATTCAGAGAGGATGACTAGTTAGTACTTCATATTTGAAGTTAGGCTGACCAGCATCCCACAACAGCATTACTGGATTATATACAGCGGCTTAAGAAAGTATTCAAGCCCCCTCACTTTTTCACACTTTTACCCATTTATCTGCACTCCCAACCACTAACCTCAAAAACAAAATGAAAACATTTTTCATTTATTAGAAATCAAAAAGTGAAATCTTTCATTTACAGAGGTATTCAGAGCCTTTAATATCTCACTCC